GAGCAATAGTTCGTTTCATTCCAACAGTCGTAAGCAAATTGGCTCATATCGACATCCAGCAACCAAAACATACTTCATAACAATCCAAAATCTGTAGCTACAAATACTTACATCTAGTTCTGTAGCCTGCATATTGTAAAGCTGAAAGGATCGATTTGTTCCAAGGAGTGTATTTATAATATAATCTAAATGCACAAAAGTAAAAGGCTATCAAGAATTTGCTGTTGACGAAGGTACTTCAATCGCAAAATATTCGAGGATTTTTGACAAACATGTTATAATACAAACCTGGATGCACAGATTTTGCTCCACTGCAGCTAATATAGGAGAAGATTTAGGTATTGAAAAGATAAATTGGTGAGAAATATTGTTAAATTAAAGAGAAAATCCTCGCAGGTTTTACGAGCATTGCCCAACTTCCTTCGATCTCTGTCAACCCACCACCAATACGCATACTCAATGAAGCTACCCGCTGAGTTAATTGTCCATGGATTGTAGGCGCAGAATCCTGAAATTCTTTTACGTGAGGCTTTTTTAAAAACTTTTAATAAAAATTGTGAAATTGTTTTGATTTAAAACACTATCAAATTTGAAGTAACCAGGTATATATCTTACTTTTTCAAAAAAAAAAAAAAATCAGTATTTTGTTGCAATAATAATGAGCCTGGCAAAACAGTCTTGACAGCCGGCTCTTCCGGGTCGAGTGTTGTCAAGTCAACGCGTTCATGGTTAATCCGACACACGTCAATGTGTTACCATACCTAAACAAAATGCTAAAAAAATGTCTAAAGAGTATATTTTTGTTGGTCATGACACAGGAAAGTTGGAGCGCGTATATCGTGTCCGTGTGTATCCAAGGCACAGGAAACCCGAACAATCGGAATAGCTACAATCATGTTTTCGCATAATCTTCAACGTATAGTCAACTTTAGATATTTTGGTTCAATGACTATGTACAAAAGAAAGCACAAGAGTCTCCGAGAAAACAATGGATAATCTTGATTTATTCTTTTATTTCCCCGGAGCCTCGTCTGCAATTCTTTTGTCCCATGTCACTGAACAAAATATCTACAGTCGGTTATTAAATCAAGTAATTGTGTGCAAAATACAATCATTGTTTCCAAAATACCTTGGATCATAAAACTATTTGTCTCAAATCGAACTTTTTTCTCGTTTATTTTTCACATCTCTTATCCCCCTTTCATCAATAGGAGGAGCCGACGGGTTCCTGGGAGAAATATATCTGTTCTTATGTCCCAGCCAGCTGCTTGCCATGCGAGAACAGTAAATAAAGAACTCTCCAGGCAAGGAGTACTTTCTAAGAATTTTTGCCATGAAAATAAAATATTCCTATCCTAAAAAGAATATAAGTCGTTTTTGACCATAAAAACGTTCGTCAGGAACAAAATTATTTTAAAGAAGGAAGGGCGCCACATTTGATTGTGAGATTGTCAACAATGTAGCTCAATGATTAAATAATGTCTGATGAGTGCGTAGCACAAAACTCGGAGTTACAGCAAAATCTTGCCTCTTTGACATCATATATATTATAAATGATATATAATTTGTAAATATATGAGTTAGCCCTTTAATAAAAAAAGAGTAAAAGTGCGCAACTTGTTAAAGGAAGCAAATGCTAAAAGCATTAGTCCACCCACATTTAAACATTATTTAACACTATTCTAAGCTATTAAACGAATTTGAATAAA